GGGCTGCGACCAGAGTCACGGAACGAATTAAGTTCGTAATCCGAGGTACCACTGTATTGGTAAGAGGCATAATCATCTGCATAATTGTGCAGATAATTTTATTTCTTAGAGTATGATACATACCAAAAAAACATTAGTAAAACTATCCTTAAAGGTTTCACCTTGTGTCAGTTTTACTAATGCTAACATCAGGTTTACTATTTTGCAGTGTCAAAGCACACTGCATAACTTATCCCGGTGTTTTCAGATCTTATAAACATACTCTTTTTCCTATTTTTTAAAAATGCTCTTAACTCTGACAGGGTTTTCAGAGATTCCTTTTCCATGAAAAACACATTTACAAGTTTTAAACAAATGTACATGAAATCTCATCTACTACCACTAGATGTCAGCTCATTATAGTTGAAGAAATAGTATTTACTGAGCTATTTACTGAATTTATATCCAAATTTTATCTGATCTTGATGTATACTCAAAAAAGGTAATTTGACAAATATGCCACTATCTGACATTATTAAATACATTTTCATTTTAAACAAAATTTTGCTCACTTTATACACATAGAAAACAAGCAGAGTCTTGTGTATATTCACACCGAAGAAAGTAGGAACACAGAATTGTGGCTTGACATAACTTTCTATTCTGTTACAAAATCTATGCTAACCTGATAGCTTACAGACTCTTTAGTGAACAAACTGTGCCCAAAATAAAGTTTTCCACATATATTTTTCACCTATAGCCTGGATATATTGAGCCATGCTGTTGGTAAAATGCTGAACAAGAAACACAAGTTGTGTAAACAGGATACATTCATTCTGCTTCAGCACAGATCAAATTTCATTCAAGTGTTAAAACAGGATTCCAGTGGCTTATACACTTTTTAACTGATTATATTTAAATACTCTTCCACCCAGGATATCAAAAATAGATACCCATGCCTTAGTATATATACACAGATATTAATGATTTATTATTGTAAGTAGATAATGATTTTCTAACTTTTTCCACTAGAGCTGTTTAAAACTATGATAAACAGAAAGCCTTTAATGTAAGCAATATAATATAATATAATCACATTCTTGCTATGATATCTAAACACTAACAGAGTAAATGAAGTCACCTCAAGAACACCAATACTCAATGTGAAGTGTATTTAGCTTACCTGCTTCCTTGCACAGTGCTGCTAGGTCTGCTCCTACATATCCATGGGCACTGTCTGCCAGTTGAGTCAAATCTGTTAGCGTCAATGAATGAGGAGTCTTACTGAGAATCTTCCTCAAGATGTCTAGTCGATCTTGAGAATTGGGAACTCCAATTTCTATCTCTTTATCAAAACGTCCTGGTCTGCGCAGGGCTGAATCTAGTGCATGAGGGCGGTTGGTGGCTCCAAGAACTAAGAGTTGCCCTTCATTACCTTCCTAAATGACAAAACAGGTTTACTGTAAAACAGGCTTACTGTTAGTTGAAGAAATGAATAGCCATGTGGAATGAACATCTGGATAAAGTAAGACACATGTTTCCTTTTTAATGTAGCCATGATATTTCACAAAACATCAGAAAGGACTTCCCACTAAGTCCACAATCGAGAATATATGTAAAGGAATTTGGTTTACTTTACAAGGTAATGCTAAAGTTATAGAAAGTAATGACCTTACCTTCTAAAGAGTTATAAAAAGATTTGTTAAACAATTAAAGCCTCAGGGAACTTACCAACACAGATTTTACACAATTCTTGAAGTCTCTTTCAGAAAACCTCTCTACTAGCTTGCCCTTATTGCCACAGATTAAGACAACCATGGAAATGCAGCATTTTGGATCAGAGATCAAAAAGGTGCTCCAAGAAAGTGAAGATGCACACACTGCAGCTGTCAGTTCCTCCTTTAAAAAAGCTGCATCTTTTCCTAAGATCCCACAGTAGCCACATCATCCCAGGAAAATATGTCTTTGAGTTAAAGACCTGACAACATGGTGTGACAAGGCCTTTTCGTATGGGTATGGTGTCATGGCCTCCTTAACTCATACGTAAATTTTCCTGGGATCTCATGGCTACCAGGAGATCATAGGAAAAGACTCATCTTTTTTAAAAAGGCATGTGCACTCATGCCCATTCCAAAGTACCTGCTGGCTTCAGCTCCAAAGCACTGCAGATACTTAAAACAACCAAGGATGGCCTCTCCTCCATTAAAGGGAAAGCTACCTGCTGGGTTTAACTGGGGATCTAAGTAAATTAAAGATTTTAATAAGATATACTATTCACTATGGCACAGTTTCCAACCATAAAGCACTGCAGTGTCTTCACATAACCAGCTAGTTCTGGACTCAGCAATGTGGCTCAATCATGACATCTTCCATAGTAGGAACAATGTATTAGGCACATCCATACAAATATGCCCTGTAATCTTCCATTTCATAATCTGGGATCACCATTCAAAAATAAAATATAAATGACTCACAATATCTGGGTTAGTTTTCATTTTACCCCAAAGCATTCTGGGGCAGAACTTCCAGTATACATTACCGGCAGCATAAATGACACTGAAAACATTGCAGCAATTTATAACTATTTACAGAATATCATCTTATTAGCTAGAGATGAGAATACAAAGAACTGGATATATTTTAAATATCTTTCCTCCTATATAATTGCAAAATAGTATTCAGAGAGAGACAATTTGTACGCAAACATTATTTTTCATATATACCACTAAATCAATAATTCAACTTCAGAGTATTCAGCTCAGTCTACTTACTGATCCAATGCCATCCATTAGTGTTAACAATGATGCTACAATTCTTTTTTCAACTTCATTCTGGGCTTCTTCTCTCTTTGGACAGAGTGCATCAATTTCATCAATAAATATAATGGATGGTCGCCTTAAAAAATAATGGGAAATGACATGTTTCCAGCAATATACAAATTAAAATAAAAGGGAAATAATGGCATGTTTCTTATGATATGCACATTAGAATTAATATGCACATAAGACAAAAAGGTAAAGACACCCTCAAATTAAGCTCAACCTCTAGAGACTATATGGGCATGTCCTAGTTTTCAAACCATTACTGCCTTCTTCCAGGATGTTTTTTTCAACCTCCCCATCTACAATCCTGTGATTTCCTGGTAGTCTCTCATCAAATTACTAACCTGGTCAAGCTCTGCTTAACTTTTTCAAGATCAGCCAAAGTCAGCTAGGTGCTGCCACCTGCTATGACACTCAATAATCTCACTGAATAATTCAAATATTCAACTGATAATAGTATTTCATGACACAGAGTAAGATAATTAGATGGTATCTTAAAACAATGTAAATTCCAACACTAAATAAAAAACTAAAATTTGGAATACATGCTGTTCAAACATCACAGTAATAAAGGAAGTGAGACGAGATCACTTATACAGTACTTCTTCAAAACATGAAAGCCAAAATGTAACCCCAGTGAAAATACAAGCCAAGATACAGTGACTATGAGAAAAGTCTGACAGACTGACATTTGTAAATTTCTACCAATTATCTTGGCTTACATATATTTAAAAAGGGTAAGCAGTATGATCCCTATCAGCACCAATCGGCCTGTAGATATCTCACTGATGTCCACCAGCCATGCTGACCCACATGACTTAATATTTTCAAAAATACTATTTTAACCAAAAGTAGTAAATGAGAATCTGGCATTCAGCAAAACAAATTTCAGTCTTTGGCCTCATTTTTATTTAGAATAATGCCTCTGGACTAAGCCCCATGTTCATTTTTTAGAAATGTTGGTGGATGTAGGTCAGTGCTTTCTTTGGAAGAAGCTCCATCTGCCCAGGAAGAAAGACAAAGCTATGTTGAAATACTAGAAAGCATGCTCTGGAGATAGAAGAGTTGGCAGGGAGAAATCTCAGCAGTCTGACTTCCAGGGAATAAACATTTTGTGACTGAACATGCCAGCCGTTTTTAAATAGGCAAGATGCCTCTTTTGGCAGCTATTTTACGAGAGAGCTCACAAGATTCCAAATGTGCCCCTAGAGCTAAAAAGTTACCTACTCCTAGGTTAAACCATAACTTCACTGAAAGAATACAACCATACCGTAAAGTTGCCTCAGAAAATATCTGTCGCAGCTTGGCTTCACTTTCTCCATAAAATCTACAAGAAAATCAAACACGATTCAGTGACAAAAGTCTGACTGCTCTTACAGTTCCCTACATGGGTACATTATTGTATCAACATCTTGCTATAAATACATAATCAATCCTTCATTTCCATTTACAGATATAGCTGTATCCTATTTGCGGCTCTTGGGTAGCAAAGAGGCCCTGTATTTTAAAAATAGCAACAAGTGCACCTCAAATTGAAAAGTAAATAAAGCAAGGCTGAAATTAATCAATGAAGGGGACTTACTTGCTTATTATTTCTGGACCATTAATTGTAGAGAAGTGAGCTTCAACCTCATTTGCAATTGCTTTGGCTAGCAATGTCTTTCCTGTACCTGGAGGACCATATAATAGCACTCCCCTTGGAGGTGGGATTCCTTCAGTCACACATAGAGTAAACAGCAAAAAAATTGCATTTAATTCTTCAATGTTGTATGCTTTTAAAAGTTCATAATCATGATAATAATAAAATTATCCCTATATTGACACCAAATTACTGATAAAATACTGTATTATATATGGAGTATGTCATGATTATTTTTAGAAGCATCCAAAATGGCAGTATTCTAAGGAATTGTGTGTCAACAGCACAATTTTTGTTACTAATAGCCATTTTAAACACACTTTACATTTGTGCCTTTTAATGTAAAATAATTCAGAAGATGCTCTGTGTAAACTTTTAAAAATTTCATTAGTTTTTAAAAACTGCATGAGAATCATTGGGAGTTGGGCAGCATACTGTATAAATTTAATAAATAAATAACGTAATAAAATAATGCTGATAACAGAGTATTCTAACAGCCCTGCAATCAGAAATGCAAATATTATGGAGTGAACCCCATGTAAAATAGTGATAAATCTTTCTGGAAAATAGAACTGCATAACTATAATTATATGCACACTAACTTGAACATAGTTCATCTTGAATTTTGTGTAACACACTTTTGTAGGAATACTTCAAAGTATTTCAGCACTGATTACTAAGTCCCGCTGATCTGTATGACAGCATGGCTACGATGTGTTTACTGAAACTGAATGAAATGAAGGAAGCTTAAAACTGCTTAAAGGTGGGTACTCCAGAACCTCCACAGACCCCATTTTTGTAGCCCTCAGAATAGCAAGTCAACAAAGTTTGGTGGTATGATTTTCTGTATGTTAGGATGACAAAAAGGAGCAATGCTCCTATTTTACATTTTAAAAACTCTTATCCCATTTTGTCCAACTGATACAAGTATTCAGGTGTGCTCCATTTGGAAGTATCACCATTTCACCAGCCACACTTCTGTTCTGAATGAGGACCCTTGAAACAGGAGTTAAACATGGTTGAGTGTCTCACACAAAGCACTGAGATTTTTCATGGGCACAAGATAGTTTACATAGAAAGATTTTGCTATCCTTCCCTCTACCTGAACCTTTAAAGAAAGCCTGAACAGGCAACTATACACAAGAAACAAATTGGCAAACATTTAGGAGACTGTCTCCGAAGAGATGCTGCCAAACTCTAAGAGAAGCTTTTTGGAGGTGAAAGCAGGAAAACTATTGGAAAAGACTGATTTAGGCACTATCTCAATCCAACTTATTCAACAAACTATGGTTAAGCAAAACATGACAGAAAAAAGATTAAGTCATTGTACAGCATTTGGGCAGGTAAAACAAAATATCAAAAGCAGCATATGATCTGCCGTTTTAAAAAACCAAATACAGTTAAGCTGTGTCTTGCATTATTTGACAAAATTACCAAGTGAAAAATAGTAAATTGTACCAGATTTATATCTCATAGATATCCTACCATATTTCCTAAATAGGTCGGGCTGCTTCAAGGGAAGTTCAATCATTTCTCTTACAGTTTTTAGCTGGTTATTGAGTCCACCTATTGAATCATAAGTAACTTTTGGTTCAAGATCATATTCTTCTGTCACTTTGGCTTGTGGTTGAATGAAACTGATCCTAGTCCTTGAAGATATGAAGTAAAATGTTTCCCAATTCTGTGATAGTCCTGTTTTATCAGCCAAAGGTAGTTCTTCACCTGCAAAACCTTTCTCACCACCTTGTGATATAGTTGATTCAGAATGAAGATTAGAGACGACAGCCACATCACAATCAAGAAT